TGTTCTCATAATTTGAGAAGAACCTCATTTTTTAAGTAAGTTTCAACGTATACAACATCTACTCTATGACAGTGCTTTGTGAACTGTGATCCTGGATGTATAGTTAACCTCAAGAGGGAGTTAGTGAAGTATGAGCTGGGACCTTGTGGGTTAGCAGTCACATTAATGAGGTGGCACATGGGGGCACCAAACACTTTGGCAGAAGTATTCATTGAATGATGGAGAACAATATCTTTCATGTTTGTCTTGAAATATAGCTTGCTTAGTTCCACCGATTTTCAGACATTGTTAAGCCTCTTGGTGCAAGTATGATTATCCATGTGGACATAAAGGGATTGGGCTTCTCTCCAAACTGTGATTTGGAAGAGACTAATCCATTGCAAGGATGCCAGATTTGGGACGTAGAACGGTAGAAGAGCTTTTTATTTTGGGTCCATTTGGCGTGTGGATCTAAATTTGCATAGAACTTAAAAACAGAATGAATCACAATTCATTTTCCTTAGTAATTTTGAAGGTGAAACCAAACATAATAAAATGACTTTCCAAAACATTTTCTCCCTTTTCCCAATACTTTCCCGGATCCAAACATACCCTTGGTTATAGGGAGCAAAGGTTGAACTCAGAGAAAAGCAGATCTAGTTGTGGATTTGGGATGCCTTTTTCTTCATGCTACATTTCCAATCTCCAACTCGAAACCTTTGTCCCTGTAGGCTGTTACATGTTTGAAAATTGTGTGTTCAGGTTCAGCCCATCATGCAGTTCATTTGAATCAGATTTGTTTCTGTACGGGCAGGCCAACATATGCAGGAAATGCTCTTTCTACTGTCCGCTATAATGGCCACACTCCTTGTATGTTGACCATAAGGGCTCCATCTTTTCCGGCTGGTTCAGTGGCAGCTAGTTCAAAACCTGTGGCTGCACCAATTGACCAGGTTGATATTTCTACCTTGAATGAAGGTAGGTTAATATACTTTGGCATGAAAATGTTTATATCTTTACCACTCCCTCACTCTCAAGAAAAGAATCATGTTTGATTAAGGTAGGATTCTAAATTTTGGCAAGGAATCCTATTTTTACCTTTATTTTTTAGTTGAACTGAAGTTAACATATTGATCTTGTTGGTTACTTTATTTTTGGAAAAATTACATGAAAAATTAGCTACCAGTATTTCTTTTAATAAAACAGGACTCTAAAAAATCATTTGAAACAGGACTTATTGGGAAAGAGGGTACTAGTGTTCTACATATTTCTGTCATGATAAGTCAGAAACAAGCAGAGTGTGAGGTTGGCTGGACATCACTTTTAGCAACTGTAAAAAGTAAGGATTAGCTTTTCATATGCAGATGGTGCAGTTGGTAAATCAAGATATATACAGCTTTGCTCTCAAAATGAGGAGCGCCCAGATTTGGGAAATGCACGTATTGTGGTTACAGGTGGACGGGCTCTGAAAAGTGCCGAGAATTTTAAAATGATAGAGAAGCTTGCAAAGAAACTTGGTGCAGCAGGTTATTTTCAATAAAATTTGATTTCGTAGTGATTTATACTCTGCATTTAAGTGTATGATCTTCCTCCCTTTAGCTTTCAGCTTTAGTTGTATCCTCTTATCGCATGCAACCTACCAGTCTAGTCCCGCACAGTGGGGTCTTGGGGTGGATGTGTGTGTGCAAATCTTACTCCTACCGGAAGCGGTAAAGAGGCTGGTTTTTAGTCCCGACTGGCTAACTGAAAAATAGGCTTACTAGAAGCATCCTGAAATAGAGAGTATCACCTCTCATTGAACTCTATTTTTAAAACCATTTCTCCTTTTAGTGCTATTCCCTTCATATGCTTTTTAGAGCAAACAAGCTCCATGAAGTTATGAACACAACAAACAACACACTTATCCATTCAATATTTACTATTTAGTAGATTATCAACTTTGAATTCCACCTTTCCAAGCATTGGAGATTTAGAGCGAGCCTGCCTGGGAATCTGGGATAACTATTGGTTAAAAACAATTTTTCTATTTCCTGCCAAAAGTATATTTCTTTTCTAAAAAGCACTTGTTTCTTGAAAATAAGTCATCCTTAGTGCATTCTAAGATATTGCATCATCTAATCAAGCTGCTTGACTTCTTTCTGGCATAGTTGGTGCAACTCGGGCAGCGGTTGATGCAGGATATGTTCCTAATGATCTCCAGGTAGAGAACTTTAGCTAGTTCTTCGTTGTAACCTTCACAAGATTTTTCTGGGGGTTGATAAGTGCATGGAGTCTACTTTTCATTCATATCTCACTGTTTGTGCACTAGTTAAACTCTTTAATGATAGGGGCTGGTTTTATCAGGTTGGGCAGACTGGTAAGATTGTTGCTCCAGAATTATACATGGCATTTGGTGTTTCTGGAGCCATCCAACACATAGCTGGCATGAGAGATTCCAAATTCATTGTTGCTGTTAACAAAGATGCTGATGCGCCCATATTCCAGGTCACACCCTCCCCCCACACCACCACTCGATGTATAAAGTTATAGCCATGGTTGAAATCATTTCCTAGCCCCGATTTGTCCCCACCTAGGCACATAGGACTTTCATCCTTAGGCCCTCATAATTCCATTAGAGCTTATTTGGGATAGTTGATAAAGTTTGATCATTTTAATAACAGATCATATGAATGTCATAGACTATAATCAGTATTAGTTTTATGTTTGTGGATACCTCTTCTGAAAAGTCGCTTCTAAGTACAGTAGTTAATTGCATTTGGGTGCAACAAAATATCAACTTTTACATGGTAAGATAGTTTAAAAACAGCTGAAAGAAAAAAAAGAATATTCAATTTACCTATCAATTGGCTGATCTAACTTTTCAAAAACAGCATAAGTTCTCCTAAAACAGTCTTTTCTAACTCTAATCTAATATCCCAAACTTTTTAACTTTTATTTATTTATTAATGAAAACAGCTGAAAGCACATAAATAGCTGAAATGACACTTACCCAAACACAATCTTAGATCCCACCTAACCCAGTTGCGTCCCCTGACTAGGCCTGAATATATCAATTGGCGTAAGTCATCCACAACGACCAAATATAATGATGCGAATCAACATATGTTAAGGTTGACCAGTTAACCTATAGGGTGAACCCCAAGTCCTAATATGTTAACAAAGGAATATGTTAACAAAGGAGATCAAGCTCCGATGTGCAATCCGATCTCGGTAAGCCTAAAAAACAGGCACATGGATTTTAAGATTGGTTTCAATCTAAGAAATGTTTTTTTCTACCATGCATTATGTGCAAAGAAATCAAAGGTTGTTTGATTCCTTATGTTTTGTTATGCCCCTTTTTACTATTGTTGATTACTTATGCTTGACTTTTCAGTAATCAAACTGTGAGTTGTGGTGTGTGACACAGGTCGCAGACTACGGGCTTGTAGGAGACCTTTTTGAGATCATACCGGAGTTGTTAGATATGCTCCCCGAGAAGAAGTAGAAGCCAAACAACACATTAGAAAGTATGTCTCTTGGAATGAGCACTTCCCCCCTGAGAGATATCTGTACTATCTTTATTCTTTAATACTAATAAAATCATCTCTTGGATGAGCAAGTATGTCTCTCTTCCATGTTATTGTGGCAAGATGGTACATGTTTAATAGATGACTGCACATTTTCATCTCATTGGGAGTCGCATTTTCAAAACTTAGCAAGGATATTAACTCTCTGTGCATTAGTAAGTTAAGAAAGTAATCAAGTATGTATGAACAAATATTGCATGTGATTGAGTTAATAAATCTCAAAAAATAAATTAAATAAAAAAAATATTTTTTAATCACACATATGTATATGACAAATATGAAATAGAACAAAGATAGGAAATGGTAAAACAACAAATTTAGTAAGAGGGAAGGAATAATATGAATATAGGAGTATAGGACTCTTTGCATCGAGTAGTGAAGTTTTATGCTTTGACTTCACAAAATGTAATTAATGTGCTAAAATGAAAAGTTTGTGATTTGAATTTCCTTACAAAAATGAAAAATATTTTGAGACACATTATTTTCCTAAAAGATAAGATAGGTGTATATTTCATTTATCAATTATTCCAACAACAACAACTCAGTTAAATCTCACAAGAGTAGGGTCTGGGGAGGGTGTGTTTACGCAGACCTTGCCCCTATTCGAAAGTAGAGAGGCTGTTTCCAAAGAGACCCCCGGCTCAACATCGAAAGTTGCATTGCTTGACTAATTGCTACTTCATTTATCAATTTTTCCCTTTGTCCTAATTTAAAATAACTATTTTGGTTCAGGAGGTTTCACTTAAATTATTTTCAATATAATTTATTTGAAAATTGGAGTGAAATTAAAAAATAAAATTTACATATTACAGAAAAAAACTATATCAAAATTTCTACGAAATAAAAAGTAACATGACTATATTATTTTATCAAATGAGTAATGAAAATAAGAAAAAAAAGTAAATAAAATTTGACTTTGTAAGAAACAACTGAATTTGGGTTGAAAAGAGTATAACTATGTTTTTAATTAAATTTTTCATTTAGCTAAATTTAACTTGTTTTGTTAAAATTTATAAGCTTTGATTATAGTTAGCATAAAAATAAAAAATATATAGAGTAAAATTCAACTTGAATGTTACAAGACTTATTTTAAAATACAATTTTAGAATATATTTAATTGCATAATATATTAATATAAAATCATAAACATTAAAAATAAAATAGTCACATTGGAAATTGTGCATAACTGCATATGCACGCACCACTCACACAAGTACATGTGAAAAGAGCACAACAAGAAAATACTCTCCATCCATTTCCTTAGATTCTTTGCTTGCGACTTTTTGTTGTTTCATTGGATTCTTTATCCTTCCAAATTTACCATTATTGAAGTTTCAAAAGTTTTTTACCCTCCTATACAACTCTCACATCATCTCTAATATGAAAAAAAACTAATACTCCCTCCATCACATATTAGATGTCACACTCTGAACCATGTAAATCCCATCATATTTAAAACCATTTTAACTACAGATTAGTATAGAAATAAAAAGTATAAATTACACTATTTGAAAAGGAGTATTAAATAGAACATGACTCTTTATTGATGGGGAATAAGTACTCTTCTCAAGTATATTTCTACTACATATAACAAGTCATCTCAAAAATAACATACATAACCCTTTTCTCAAACCTTCAGGTGTTTTATAGCAGTGTGAACATCCTTATCCCCTCTGCCACTGCAGTTCAGCACAACCTTAGCCCCGTCCGGCAGAGTCGGGCAAAGTTTCTCCAAATAAGCCAAAGCATGTGATGTCTCCAATGCGGGAATAATGCCCTCTAACCGAGACAACCTTGTAAATGCTGCACCCACACACAAGCACAGCACATCTAAGCAAAACAGAACTGCTACAACTATGACAACAACCGCAAACCCAGTAAAGTCATACAAGAAGTAGGGTCTAGGGAGGATGTGTGTACGCCAATGTAACCAGACCTTACCCCTACTTGGTAGTAGAGAGGCTGTTTTCAAGGGACTCCCGGCTCAAACATTGGAGCACAATAACACGAACAAAGTAAGAGCACAGACTATCAGAGACAAAGTTATTGTCCTCACTATGCTGGCTGACGTCCAACCTGGCTAACGAGAGTCTCATATTCCAAATTTAAATTTAAATATTACCTTCTAAAGCTTCTTCATCAGTAATGCTATGATACTCAGCTCGTTTGAGGTCCTTAAGAAAGCTATGCTCAGGCCCTACTCCAGGATAATCCAACCTGATAATCCACAAGCAAAAAAAAAACAATCAAGATGGGATCTTGGAAACCAGGCTCCATTCATCTACAAAAAATGATTCTAAGAGAAACTGTCTTCCTATTGTCTTGTGTTAGGCACATCAAAACAAAGTTTTGCATGTGTCGCAAACCTGATCGAAAAAGGAAAAAAATATACTTAGGTGGGAACCAAAAAATGGTAGGGAAAGGGGGAAAATGCCTAGGAAAAAAGTATTACGGTTTTGCCTTCAAAAATATGAAGAAAATCAAATTTTGATCAAGACATCTAAACATGATACGGAGTACATATATTTAGGTTTCTTCTTTACATAAAAGAATTCCTTGTATATAAATGAAATTATTGTGGACAAATATCTAAAAGATTTGATGAGCTTGAACTAACACTCCTTTTCCCTCCAAATTTCTACTCTATTTTTCTCTTTTACTTTCGCTAACATTTTTGTAGTTCCAATCGGACCCTTAAGACATTTGTAGAAAATGACTTTCTGTTCGGTAACAATTTTTTGTTATCTATTTTAGTGAGCCAGACATTATATCACGCAAAACACAACTTTTTCAAGAAAGCAATTTTTGCAAGTTATTTTCTTGGAAAACACTACAGTGTTAATTGCTCAAAGGTCAAGAGAAGTGTTTAAGAAAGTTTGTTACCCAGCACTGATGGAATGGGGCTCAACTATCTGCCCATCATCATCCTGAAGCAGATAGCTCATAGCTCCATGTAGCACTCCAACCTCACCCTTTGTTAAAGTAGCAGCATGTTTACCACTATCAAGACCAAAACCTGCAGCCTCCACCCCAATCAATCTCACATCTTTGTCATCAACAAACTCATGAAACAGACCCATAGCATTTGAACCTCCGCCAACACAAGCAACAAGCACATCAGGCTTTCCACCCCATTTCTCCAATGCTTGCTTTCTTGTTTCTTTGCCTATCACTGCATGGAAGTCTCTAACCATCATTGGGTATGGGTGGGGCCCGGCAACAGATCCCAAGATGTAATGAGTCGTTTCGACATTGGTAACCCAATCCCGAATTGCTTCTGATGTAGCATCCTTTAGTGTTGCCGTTCCAGAATGGACCGGTCTAACCTGCACTGCCAGATGTTAAATTGATGCGGATGTATATTATGAAACACCGTATATAGCAAGAGGGAGAGAGTATAAAGAGGACAAAAGTTATTGCTTAAGGCTCTGTTTGTTTCCAGGAAAATAACTTGTGAAAAAATGTTTTCTTTGGAAACCGTTGTTATATGTATTGTATAATGTTTCACCCAAAACATAGAAAACATTGAACTCTTTCAGAAAAATAACTTCCCAAGTCCCCATTTCAAAAATGGGAAACCATTTTCCACAAAGCCCGAAGAAATGAGGAAAACAAATACTTTTCTGGTTCCCACAGAAACTGGAAAATCCCACAAGTGGATTTGGGCCTTGGGGAGGGTAGAATGTAGGCAGACCTTACCTCTACCCGGAGCCTAAGAATGCAAATACAAAGATTAGATAGAGATGTATGCATTCAGACAATGATACTACCAAAAGTGAAAGAGGGGATATGGTATCTCTACCAATTACTGAATTGGGTAAATCCAATGCCTTGTTAGGTTTAGGGGATTATTGAGGGTAAGGTGACTATAGTAACATAGGTTTTTCTAATTTAGTGTTACCACCTAATGCGAGAGTACTTTTCTCAAATCCCCCATCCCCTCCAAAATATCCAACCAAACACTGGTTAAAAAAGAGCAGGCACATATACAAGTAGGAATCAGATAGTCCAACACTCATAACAACATGTAATTGAAAGTAAATTACTAAGATATTGCTTCAGTTGCCACGAGGTATGTGTTCATTGATAAGTTATAAGGTAACATAATGGAATGGAATGCAATGAACTCAAGTATACTTGTTGGAATAAATTTACATTGCATGTGCATTTGGTTACATTAAATTATGTTCCATTGAGGCATTAAAAAACCAAACATTTCCAAAAAACACGCGGAATAGTTCCAAAACAAAACATCAACATAAGAAACAGACCTCAGCACCAAGAAGACGCATCCTGAAGACATTCAATGATTGTCTCTCCATATCCTGAGCACCCATATAAATTACACACTGCAAGCCAAAGCGAGCACAAACGGTTGCAGTGGCAACACCATGCTGACCAGCTCCAGTTTCTGCTATAATGCGTTTCTTGCCCAAGTGCTTTGCAAGCAAGGCTTGGGCAACGGCATTGTTGATTTTGTGTGCTCCGGTGTGGTTCAGATCTTCCCTCTTCAGGTATATGTGTGGCCCTTCACCATTGGATCGCTTGTAGTGCTCAGTAAGCCGTTCTGCAAAATAAAGAGGGCTTGCTCTCCCAACATAGTCACACAAGATCCCATCCAGCTCTTTCTGTGGATCATCACTTAAATCAGTCAGCACCTTGTACATTGTTTTGCCTTCAGGGTATGTTAGCAACATTAGATTCCAGAAAATATTAGTACTTGGTATGAGTGTTTATTTGTCGGCATCAAAAGATTCATCTTACACTATTGTATCTAGAGTCTAGACATGAATTGAACAACAATTTCACTCTTAATTCTATTAGAGGGAGTGAGTGAACAGAAATTTCTTCAATTCTTCTTTGCATTAACAGAAAATGAATTTTCTGAGAGTGAGTGACAGAGAATTAATTTGATGCAAAAAAGGTCATTTCGTGAGAAGACGAAATGGAAAAAATTTAACATTTCTTACAATACAGAGTTATACGGAGTAAGCAATGAAGGAGATGGAGCAGATGACCTGAAAGGCATCGTCATTTGAGAGAGTCCTGAAGGCAGCCTCGAGCTCATCCAGCGCGTGCATGAGCGTTTCGGGGACATACTTGCCGCCGAACTTTCCAAATCGTCCGAACGAATCGGGACGTCGAAGAGCACCAAATTCAGAGGCCTCACCGGCGGCAGCCATTCGCTCCTTCACAGATCCTGCGGCTAGGCTGCAGAAGACTGGATGCGCCTTGGCTGAGCGATTCGTGAGTCTCAGGGGCAAGCGGTTCAAAGAGGAGGAGGAGGCGGCGGCGTACGGCTTCGGGAGCAAGGGGGTTGACGGTTTGATGGTGGCGGATGAGAAAGCCATGTTTGGCATGCCTCTGCCTAAACAACAAAATTGATTTGGAAGATCTACTCCTATCAAACATACCAGAATCCCTGGAGGCACCAAATAATAATCATTAATAGGGCATTTATATATATAAAAAATTGTTTAGAATAATTTTTTTAAAAAAATTTCATTTTTCACTGTAATGCATAATAATCTGAACTTTGTTGCAATGTGTAAGTTTTGAATTGCCGTTAAGTTGTTAATGACGATTAAACAAAAAGAATTTCTTTTGTACAACAAAATGAAACTTAAAATTATGATATAAAAAGTAATGAAAATGAGAAAAATTATTAAAAAATTATTATGATATATATAATGATATTTGTTACGGAGTATATAATATGATATTTTTTTCATTTTTGTACATGTAAAAATTAAATCTTTAATATATGAAGTATTAAATTTCATTTCTAATTAATTCATAAGAAATTAATAATATACTCGTACAACTTTTAAATGATTTTTACTTTTGATTTTCTCATTTCATTTTTTTTTTGAAATTTTGAAATTTTAAATTTAATTTTCTTAATTTTAAATTTTTTAACTTTTATTTTTATTTTTTTACATATATTACAGAATCTCTTTCAAGAAAAATGATAAAAAAATTTAATTTTTCTAATAGGCAAGTCCAAAAGCTACTCCTCTTGGCATTTCAGATCTTGGCTTTTACTATCAAACAAGTAAGTGAAAAAACCATTAGCCAAGCAATGGTTTTGGCTGTTCGATTAGTCAAAAAAGCCAAAGTCAGTCAGAGATGTCAAAAAGTATCCAAAAAGCTGTTTTCCAAACACAACCAATATCTATGAAAATCCTAAAGATACCATTCAAGTGTGGGTTTAAGTCTTCAAGCTCTTGTTGTGACTTGTGGTTGAGCAGAGGACCCTTACTGAGCATCGGTCTTGTCATGGTTGTTGCATGCGCTGGCTCGTTTTAGGTCGAGGGCTGAGGTGATGACATGGTATCTGTGACCGAACGTAGAGATTTTTTTTATACAGAGTATCACGTCAATGTTCTCAACTTGTAGTTCAAGAGTCCTCTATGCGCTCAGAGTATCACTTTTGCCGAACCTCGTCTAAGGTATTTATCACTCCGTAATTTTAATTCATTTTATTTAACAATTAGTTTAAAAACAAAAAAATGTACCTAATTTATATACTTAAAAGTTATATCAAAATTCCTACAAAACAAAAATATGACAATAAACATTGATTTTAGTCTTTTTTGAATACTCAAAACAGGTGAATAGAGTGAATATTTTTATCTTTCAACTACACACGCGCAGAGACGGGCATTTCAAATTTTGACTTTTCCAACTAATTGTGTTTTGCTTTGTTAGAAACTAATCCTCTTTAGTTCATGTAAGTTGTGTAGTGTAAAACTCTAACTGATTATATTAAATAACAGTAACACCAAGACGTCAATCATCTCCAGACAATCATGTAAAAATCTCTTTCACCCACACTAGGATCATCATCATTGAGAGCCAATGTCATGGACAGAAACCCCATTTTAGCTCTTGGTTTCATTGTCGTCTGGAGGTGATGGCTCAGCCGCGACAGCGGCATCTTCGCAATCCTCCTCCTCTCCCTCCCCGCCTCTGCTCCCACACAGAAACTCCAAAGCTGAAACCACGTCGGTTATGAAAGGTCGCGTGTCTGCTTCCTCTTGTAGGCACATTGCCGCGATTGCAAGAGCTTGATGCAGACCCTTTGCTGGAAAATTTCCTTCCAATAATGGATCCGCAATCAAGTGAAACTTGTTTTTGTCTTTGAACAATGGTTGTGCCTGCAGTCACTTCTTTGAAATTAGCAAATTCAAATGTATAGAGAAAATTAGAAGAATTGAACATGAGTGCTATAACAAACTAATAACTGGACATTGGGCTTCATTTTGATGAGTTGTCTATGCAGAGTAAGGTGAGTTTGAGGGGTAATACTTGAAAGTCAAGATACTTGTTTTTAAAGTAAGAGTAAGATTAACTTTGAAGAATACTAAACCTAAACCCTTTGTTAGACAGCATTTTCAAAACATTAAAACTGTAGCTATAAGGACACATAATCTTGTTGTAACGCACCCACAAAACCAAATTTTGTTCTTCACTGGGCCTCGAGTTGTCGATGACTCTTCTTCCTGTTAAGATCTCCAAAAACACGACCCCGAAGCTGTAAACATCAGACTTTGTAGTCAACTGGCCCGTAGAGGCATACTCGGGCGCGCAATAGCCATATGTGCCCATGACCCTGGTGGTGACATGAGACTGGTCGCCCGTTGGTCCTAGTTTGGCCAGCCCGAAATCAGAAAGCTTTGCATTGAAGTTGTCATCTAAGAGTATGTTGGATGCTTTGAAGTCACGGTATATAACCGGTGGATTAGCTGTTTCGTGCAAATACTCAAGCCCTCTTGCTGCTCCTTGAGCTATTTTCATCCTTGTAATCCAATCAAGTGGCTTTTTACCTGGCTTTGGATCTGGAAAAAAAGCATAAGGCAAAGATTTCATTGATGAATAAACATACACCAAATAGAGCCCTCTAAGATTTTACAATTTCTTTATTTCGAAATCTTGATCTGGTATGCTCATTCATGTGGCATCCACTTGGAGATGACATGAATATTTGTCATCCACCAAAGCAAAATTGCCTTGAAATCTTTTTGTTTAGGTACCCTTTTGAGCTTTTAGTAGGATATATATATATATGCATATACCAAGAAGATGGTCTTCAAGGGAGCCATTGGACATGAACTCATATACTAATAGCCTTTGATCTCCATCACAACAATACCCTTGCAAGCTCACAAGGTTAGGGTGGTGAAGAAGACTCAACAACAGAACCTCCACGAGGAACTCCCGGTTTCCCTGGAGGCCATTCCTGTCGAGTTTTTTAACTGCAACAGTCTAAAACACCATGAAAATCAAGAGGTTTATTTAGTTGATGCCCATTTACTTTTTTCTAATCAGATAAATGAAGAAGTGTCATTAAGAGGAGAGAATGAACTTTGTCTTTGTTCTTGAGGTGCCCTCTGTAGACCCGCCCGAAACCGCCTTCCCCAAGCAAAGATTCAAGGTTGAAGTTATGGGTTGCATCAGATAGTTCTTGGTATGTAAAAGCATGAGCTGAGCTATTCCCCTTTCCAAATTTTCCTATTTCTTCCTCAATGTATTTCTTCCTGCTTCTATCTGCACATTCATATGATCATCATTTCAATTTCACCCATTGTTAGAGCTTATCCTTCAAACATATATAAGGGAGCTCGGACGGATCGAATCAAAATCAATATGGATGAGCAGCAGATGAAATTCACCAGATTTCAAAGAAATGTTGGCAAATGAAGCAAGAACCCTAATGTCCTTGTATTCTTGAATGCTTTTCTTCAATGAATTTCTGGCGATTTTCTCCTCCCCAGAAAGACAACAAGAGAAGCAGTTCATCCTCATCCTTCCCACCTATGGTTAAGCAGATCCAGACCCAAAGCTCATTAATTTGTTGAAATATCTGGGCGATATCCTTATTGTTGGCAATTTTTTTTAAAAAAATTATTTCAGAAATCATATGTTTTTGGCCTACAATAAGAACATCACTGCAATTTCAGCTTTCATGGGCCAACACCCTAGTGCTGGCAAATTCGTCTTTCTCTCCGGTTTGTCTCAGGAAACAGATTTGGGGAGAAATGTCTCCAGAAATTCTGTGTTTTTCTTCCCCCCCTTTTCCCTCTGGTTTGCGTTTTTCCATTAATTTTTACGTTTAGAAAATAATAATAATTCCAAGTGTACAAACATTGCTGCTGCATGAAATGAGGGGCAAAGAGATATTCCAAATTCCTAAAATTGAGGATCCCCACAAACCAATAGTAAAAAATGATAGGTTAGTTTATTCACTCATGAAGAAGAAGAACTAGCGGTGATACTACTGCACTCCCTAAATATTTGTCACTTGTATTTCCGATATAAAATATCAAGTTTTTTCAATTCATTAAAATAAAACTACATGAAAAGTTCTCCGGGTGTCAAAAATATTTAATTTTATCAAATAACTGATAAAAACGTAGAAATAAACAAAAATTCCCACGACTGCAGAAAAAACAAATGTTGCAAATATTTTGGGAACGGAGGGAGTATAATGGAGATACGGACCACAAAGATTAAAATAAGATCAAATCTTAATAAATTCAGACTAAAACAAAAAAATGAGGTAAAAATAACAAGCCTTTACTCTTTTTAAAGAAATATGGAGTAACCTTTTAAATTAATGTTCAGATTTTGAATATTATTTGAATGATTTGTAATTGTATGCTATTGTTTAAAATGCTAATGTTAAAGACAGTGGTTAAGACTAAATTTTAAAAATTAAACTACGTAATATTTTAACTCACACCATGTATAGGTAAAATGAAATTGTTTTCAGTTATACAGAGTATTAAAATTATGATTATACTCTCACAAATTAATACTCCGTGTGATTCTTTGCATCCCTCTCCCCCATGCACACACACATTGATTAGAAAATGATTCTTTTCTTCCGTCTTATTAAAAATATAAAAATGGATGAGTGATCTTATGATAAGATCAACATCAATGATAAGAGGACGAAAGAGTATATTTTCAGAGTAAAATATGGTTACCAATTTACCATACTTCACAGTTCACAGTAATGAAATAGCTTTCGTTTGAAACTTTACTTAAATAAATGTTCATAAAGTCTTAACAACAGATCAGAGTGGCGCAGCGGAAGCGTGGTGGGCCCATAACCCACAGGTCCCTGGATCGAAACCAGGCTCTGATATTTCCTTCTTTTTGCCTAATTCTTTTTGCGCCTTTCCCTTTTACTACCTAGTAAGTTTAATTTAGTTAAAAAAAAGGGAAAACCTCAACCATAATACCGTTCAATTCAGTGTTATAACTTCGTATAATTTATTACACTACAATAGACCAATAATCTTGAATCAACACGAAATGAAATTCAACAATAGATTTTATAGTAATAAACTTTTTAAACCCATCATTTGCAAAATTTCGATAGGCCAAAATACATCCACTTTTTTCTCCATAAGGAAAAAATATATATACTCACTACAAAATGATGATTTCAAATTTCAAGTATATATAACATTTCCTGTGGTTTGAAAAACAAATACTCCGTACAAAACAAAAAAAGCAACATTGAAGTAGAGCCTCCTAGTACAGCCCGACCAGTCAATTTATAAAATCCTATATATATATGTATATGTATAGGAACTAAGCCGATAGCCCGGTGGCATCCTTGGGGATCAGAAACAGAAAAGCCACCGGAAAGAATGTGGAGACGAGCTGAATGAGAATGCCAATGGGAAGGTTATCAAAAGATCCTGAAGATATGTTAAGAGCAGACGCGAGCGCAGCTCCTACAAAAGATCCCACCGTAGAGCCCAAGTTGTTGATTGACATAAAGAGCGCAAACAAAGTGCCTTCAATTCCTGGAGGGCATAGATGCCCTGATAAGATCAGAAACGGCATAAACCTGCAACGAATTGTGTGGAACCAACTAATTAAAAAGGTAAGATCTTTCGTAACACGATTTCTCCACGTTCAATCAAAAAGTTGTGATGAATTGTTTAAAATATTTTAGAGATATGATATGAACAACATTGAGATGAATAAATGAGCGCCAGACTCATTTGAAGGGGTTATTTACGTTTGTGTGAAAAAGGGGAAGTTAGATATCATACTTGAATTGATTTATCCCGTCTCCAAGAGCAGACCCGCACATCACCATAGCTTTATCCGATATGCCTAATGACGCATTGATTCGGGTAACCAAAACTAAATCTAGAGCACCCAAAATGGCCAAACCAACATGAGCCCACCTGCACAAATACCATACAGGAACAAGAATAAACTAAACTGAGTATTAAGTTTTGAAACGTGTGTGTATCATTCATTATCTACTAGCTTCGTCATCTGAGTTTGAGCTTACATGAGAATTCTTCGCAATCTCATTTTCTTCAAGTACTGGTTGTATATGAAGGTTCCAAGCATGAGGCCTAACCACCCTAGAACACGTGTTGTCCCTAAGAATGATGGTTCCAACTTTAAAATCTCTGCTTGGTAGTAGAACATTACTGTGGTCAGATTTGGGACTGTTATATGTGCTAAAAAGAACCAAGCCATTGGTCTGTCGACTCCCAAAAAAGAGTTTGCACAAGACAAAAAACACTGTCAGATCAAGCAAATTATGGATAATAAAGGAAAAAAAGCTAATGACTTATTCACATTTCGCTTAATTCCAAAGCCTTTGTCAGATTATTTATTATAGAAAAATTTTCATTTTTAGTCTCAAGATTATTACGTCATTCTACTTTTGATCATCAACTTTCATTCTTCCATTCTTTGTGAATGGATAGGGAAAAATGAAAGTTGGTAATCTAGAGTGGGAATAACATAATAGTAGCAGGCCCAAAAGTAAAACCTTTTCTTTATTATATTGAACATTAACATGTAAGGTCGTGATACTTATATAGGGAAATGAGTGGAGTTCCTAGGAAATAGTATTTGGCGGGTGATATGCATTTATTAACTAAAAAGGCATCAACAAAGAAGGTTTTCCACATGTTACCGTAGAATGATTGGCTGCCGGAAAGCCTTAAATAGATCATAGCTTGCTGATTTCAGGGATTGAAACAGATTAGAGGATGGCCCGTCTTTTTCTTGAATTTGGAGGTCACCTGTTTTGATTGCTCTGATTTCGGTATCTTTCTGGCTCTTTTTTCTCCTTGAAGGACCACCTTTGGACTTCCCATTAGAGAAGTTCAAATTCTCATCAAAGTTTTCGTCTGTCAAGTGGGTCCCATTTGGAGTGGAAATTTTGGAGAGGGCTTTAGAAGCTGCAGAGCCCTCCTCCACAAAATGACATGAAACAAACTGCATTGCTGGTAAAACAGAAAAAATAAGAAAAATTTCATCCATCTTCAGATTGCTTAATGCATAACCACCTAGCAAACTCCCACAGATTCCTCCCAAAGCCATTGCCATCCAAGAGATTGATTGAAGATCACCAGCAAATAAAGCTCTGTTCATAGCAACATCAAGATCTATATTCATGACTATTGTATCATAAAAACTATTCACAACTGCACAGTGCTTTCTTAGGAAGCTCACGTGTTGTGAGTCACATTTTCGTTTCTTTAAAAGTTTTTTGGGGATGTGAAAAATGGGAAAGTATGAACAATTTTGCGGGACAGAGGGAGCTTTAAAAATTGAAGTCTATCCTAGAAGGTTGACCAAATAGGAGTAGTCTCATGTGCTATATACAATACAATAACAACAACCAATCCAGTAAAACCTCACGAATGGGGTCTAGGGGGTAGTTGTTGCCAGACCTTACCCCTACCTAGAAAAGGTAGAGAGGTTGTTTCTGAAATACCATTGGTTCAAGAACAAAAGGCAAAGGTTAGCAGAGTTCATGGAAGATTCCATGAACTCTTCATTCAAATTTGTTATATGTTGGTTCACTTGGTTGTGAATTCAAACTTAGACAATGGGTTACACTCTTCAAGAAAAACAAGAGGAACTCAAGGGTAGCTGAACACCAACTACGGAACTACCACCATAGTATATTTGACATAAAAATTTGCTTGACCAAGAAAACATACCGCTCTAATCTTGCGGCCTCTGCTATCATCGCATCAATTACCACATCAGCCATGGCAGATCCCAGATTTTGCACTGTTAGAAAAATCATTAGCTGCACCTTAGTGGTCCTAAGAAATTCGTTGGTTCCTAAAACAAGCCATGGAAGGAGTGATAGCAAAGTGGCCAGCATTAAATAGGGAATTCTCTTTCTTCCTTTAATGGGTATACAGTCAGATATGATTCTGCATGGAAGACATCTTGACTTTCAATATCTTGTAATGGTAAAAGACTACTAAATTTTATGTACTCAATATCACCAGAAAAATCAAACCTTTTGCGAAAGAAAGCACATATTGTTAATTAAAAATCAGTTTATCTCACTAGAACACATTTAATAAACAAATTCCACCTAAAAGAGTTTTTAAGCAAGCATATCCCATTCAAATCAAGTTTGAGCCTTTGACATATTGCTTGTATAAGTTCATGAATATTTGAAATGATGACAGATAGCAACATGAAACTCACAAGTCATACTTGCACTTGTATGATAGATACATACCCGTATAGAGGTTTCACACTCCATGGAAAGAATGCTATTGAAGAGACAAACTGGGAAGCTGAAGGCGATAATTTCAATTCATCTTTCAGCTGATACGAAACTGCAGTCCATACAAAAGATCTAAAACCCTGCTCGAAAAAAGCGTGTAGTGATACGCCATAAGGACTCTATATATATACACACCAAATAACTTGTTTAGTTGGGCGAGAGTAGGATTGATTGCCAATGGAGCTAAAAGAAGGTCATTTTGACATTTCTTGTTAGCTTTGGGTAAATAATACTAGATCAAAATAGCGCATTAAAATTTTCATCGCGTCTTACTTTCTATGAAGTTTTGGACAGTAAATATAATAATGCATTACATATCTACCCAAACCAGTCTCTTTTTTTACATGGGTAAAGTTGCCTGCAACAGAGTTGGGATTATATTATAGTTCGTGTTGTTGTTTACATATATGGAGCATTTATTGGTACTGGCCTATAAAATGACCACTCTATATACATTTCGTTAAATCATCGTCTTAACCTTCTTTTCAACCATCTAAATTTAATGATAAACTAATAAAATAAATGTCACAGAAATACATTATAGTTGATTCTGGCAACACAAAGAACTGCTAGGGCTGTGAAAATAGATCGCCATTTTTCTATAGAATCAACAGCTTTACGAAAACTTCTAAAGAAAAAACAAAAAAACCCTAACTCCCCAAATGTTCGATTTTAACCCTAATTTCCGGAAAATTTCGACCAGAATTTGGAACGGGGAAGAATTGGGGACAGCATTTGAGAGACGAACCTGGGTGAAGTAAATCAAGCAAACGAGCCACAGAAAAGGGGCCCCAAAAGCGCCCCGCAACTGCCTGCACCAACCAATCATTGTGTCCGGATCCAAAATAATCCGACAAGTAGATCGACCCGACCCGAAAATCCGTTTTTCTCGTTACGATTGGAAATCCCCGATGACCATTGGCTCTTCAGGGCAGTGCTTCGTCTTCATTTCCAACGGTTTCTGGTTTGACGTTTTTCGCCCATCTGAAATGTCTCGACTGTTGGAAGATGATCGAGTTGACATGGCATCTCAGTGTCATTTTGCTGACATTTTGCCGATGTGGCGTGCGTTGGGGATCCGTGCTGGCATTATCTATGATGATGTGTCGGCAATTTATATACTCTTTCCTAAAGTTCTTCATGTTTTGAGTTTTTTTTATCACAAATTAAACATAATCTAAATAAATGTTACTCCGTATAAAATTTTATATATTAAAACTATATTCTAAGATTAATTCAATTATACTTAATTTATATTATAATTCAACACATTTTTCTTATAATTTGTGGGGAAAAAAATATTAATGTTTGATCAAAAAAGTTAAAACATGAGAATTTTTAAGACCAGATGAAATAATACTTCCTCTCTACAAATCTTTTTTACTCTTAAAAAAGTTAAAGTAAGTATATTTTGGGATTGACTTTTCAAAAATATCCATCGAATATGATGGATAAAAGTGACATATGATGGATGTATTATTAATGAATAGATATTATGTGATAAGTAATATAAAAACTAATGAGATAAAATAACTTCTAAATATAAAGTAAAAAGATTTTTTGGGATGAACGAAAAGTTTTGTTCCAGTTGACTTGACTTACGTACGATCTCTCGCTTAATACACGATCTAGTGGATGATAGACATTACGATTTCTAGAAGTATATATATAAAGCTATGAACTCTATTATAGATTAATACGGACATTAAACATAAAGAATACTAAGTGCTTTTACCATGGAACTAAAATTTATCATAAATCTTTTACATAAGTAAATTATGAAGTAATAAATTAAAAATAGTAAATTTTCTAAATAATCTTTCATAAAATGAGATTTTCGAATATGGTTCTATATTCTAAATTATTCTCTTTGTAGTCCACTGTAATATGTTTTTTGTACAGGGCATTAGTGAAAATTTAGTTTATAATCTTACGTATTACAAATATATATTCTCCTACTTTCTTCATCTAAAAAAAATTATTTTAACTTGAGAGAGTTATAGAAGAGTAAAATAGATTACGACTCATTAAATTTTCTAAAAAGTAAAAAAAGAAAAAGAATTTTTTTAGATATCTTAAAAGGGTAATAAGGAGTTTCTCAAAATGGAGAGTGTTCTGATTTGAGCGGAGCAAGTCATCATCATCTCCATTCATTCATTGGCATTGCTGTGATTTCTCCATTTGTGCTCCAAATCAGATCTTTGAGTCAAATGCAAGCCCAGATTCCTACACGGGTCGGGTCATTACCCAAACGGTACCACTCTCTTCTCATCAACAACAACCCTTTGACCCCTCAAAGATCAATTCTTTCTTCTCAAACCCGAACCACAGGAATGGCGACCCAATCGGGTCCTACCGGGAGACGACCCATGTGCCCGACGTGCTCGAAACCGACCCGGCTCTGCCTCTGCACCCGTTTCAAGACGCCGAAGCTCAAAAACTCCGTCTCCGTCACAGTTCTCCAGCACAGTCTGGAGAAGAATCACCCGCTCAATTCGACCCGAATCGCATCCATAGCCCTCCAGAATCTCACTGTAATCCCAGTTTCCGACGTCAATTTCCAGGCCCGTTTTTCAATCCGACCCTTACACAGCTCGGATCTTGAACCGTCCGAGATCCCCGTCGTTTTTACAGTCGAGAAGTACGGAAAAATCAAATCTTTTCGGGTTACGGGAAACGGGTCTCCGCCGGAATGCGATTTGGATCAGTTATTGGCTTCAAGAAATGGCGTCGTTGATGATTTGGACAAAGGGTTTGTGGTGAAAAAGTTTCAGATGAAGGAGTTCAATGGAAGCACTGGATTTGAAGAGAGGGCAGAGTTTGAAATAACAGTTCCTCAAGGGTCAGTGCTTCTATTTCCAAGTGAAAAGTCAGTTGGGATAGAAGAAGGCATGATGAGAAGATGTGAAGTGAAGAATCTGATAGTGTTGGATGGGACATGGGCAAAGGCCAAGAGAATGTACAGAGAGAATCCATGGCTGGAGCTTCTTCCCCATGTGGAGCTGGTGGAGGAGGAGGGGCGGCGGAAGCAGAGCTTGTACGGCGAGGTGAGGCTGCAGCCCAAGGAGGGATGCTTGTCCACCATTGAAAGCATTGTGTGTGGACTCAAGGCTGTGGGTGAAAGAGATTTGGAGGGTTTGGATGGTGTTCTTCAGGTCTTTGCTTCCATGGTTGGGGATCAAAGGCGCTGCAAAGAGGAGAGATTGCAGGCTTTAGCCATGCCATCCCTTTCTCAACCTTAACTAACCCATAACCTTCAATTGTAGGACCAAGGGAAGAAATAGTGTTTTATACTTTTATATTGTAATGTATGAAAGCTCCCTCAAATGAATGTCCACTATTGTTGCAACCCTATGTACCATTATTCCAACCCGGTATTAGTATAGAATTGTTTGCTTTGGACAAACTCTCACATGTGTTTTTGAACCTCTCTCGAAATGTTTCATACCTTTTACATTGTTTCGATTCTCTCTTTCCGTCCAGTGTGAGATGGCTTGCACCCCAATAAACCTCACTCTAAGCCCTCCCCTTCAGTGATCAATCCAATTATGTATTGTCCATTTGAAAAGGACTATTTTGAGAAATTTGTATAAGTTTAACATCACTTAACACCATTTTGAACACTGTTAGTCAAAAGATTATTAACATTATTCTCAATTAACAAATACGACAATTAGTTTATCTTGAGGATAATTTAAAAAAACACATGTAAGTAGGTTTTTAGATTGTGAAGTTATGAGTAGTGGCAGTGTGGCACTAATGGGAGCCACTCCTAAACTCCGTGTAATTTACATGTATCTCCATCGTGGGGAAGGAATGAATGAAGATGAATTGTCTCTAATCTCTCACTAAATATTCTCTCTAGTACTCTTTTCTTGGCCAATTGGGTTAAATCCATTTGGAACAACATATGGTGTTTCCAAAAAAAAAGTGAGTTTTAGAATTGGAAAATTTGATTTTCTTATAATTTCGGAATAATGTACCCACAAGCCCATGCATATTACCAAAAAGAATACTGCCATGACTCAAGAAACTTGGGATCAAAAAGGGAGGGATTCAAGAGAACACAAATCCCAGTTACTCATGGAACAATAACATGATAAATTACTCAACTTCATGTAATACCACAAAAGCAAATCAACCAAAAAAGCTAGCCAAATATCAAGCAATATAAGTACTCTAACATCACAAATCAGACCGAGAAATGGTCGCACATGGACTAATCCGCTTAATCCAGCATCCGCACATTACTCTATTTAAGTACTTTAACAGATCCAAATTCCAAAAAAAACACAAACAAAAAGAGAGAAATCTGACTGGCATGCCAGTCGCCAAGCGTCATGATAATGACCAGTCATTTTACAAAGACGAACAACAGAACAGACCTTGCTGCCATGGCATCTTCATCTCCAGCACTCCAACTTTAGATGCTCTCACTGAAAATAACAAAGGACACCCAACATTTCCGTCATTACAATCATCACTTTATTCATTAATTTTTGAAAAGGAAAAAGATTGATTTTTATATACTCCATATAATATAAATACCTGTGGTGGCTGTTGGTAATTTGCATATCCAGGGTAACCTCCATAGTACATGCTAGGGTCCTGTGCCGGGGCAGCATATCCACCATATGCATCATACCCTTGGGCATACCCTCCATAATAAGCACCCCCTGCACTACCGCTGCTGCCCCACTGAGTTTGGCCCACATTTTTGTTAGACGGGTTGCGTCCCCAAGAAAGACGGACGTTTTGCTCTCCTAACAGTGCTCCCTGAAGGCCTAATAGAGCCTGCTCAGCAGAAGGCCTGGATATGACAACGGAATGCTTAAGATACAAACACCCTAAATGAGTGATTGGATGGAGGTAATCCTAGGTTTTTTACAGTTTTCTTTGTGGTGCACCTCATTTGAGAAACTCTGAAGACCCATTTTTAAAGAAACACTGAACAAAGGGGTTTCCAAATTGGGTTCGGCTTGTAAGTAATTCAGATATAGAACCTCCATCCATACAACCTTTTATTACATTCACCTAGGTTATCCTAAACTATTCAAACATTTTGTACATGCACCTCAGCTCACCTAGGATCATACAGTTAACTCACTTAAGTTCACCAATTTATTAAAGTTTGCCTCAAATCCAACATAGAATAAATGCACTTTTGGAGTACAGAACGTGCCAAGGCACGAAAACAGCAAGGAAAATGTAGGAGAAATTAAGAAAGAGAAAAAATGGGGGGAAATTTGCTAAATCCACTCACCTGTATAAATTTGAGATTTATCATCTCTATAGTGGATTTAGCAAATTCAGCAATTTAGGGTGTGGAATTAGATGCACCAATCAGATTTTAATATGTTCAAACCCATTTTACATATATAACTACCATAGTATTTTTTTTTCCCAGATCGAAATGCTTTAGTCAGCTTTAGTTTTCAATTATACTTGCCAATGTAAAACCAAGAATTTAAAAAATGCTTAACATTTTTTTCATTTGTACCATTTCCTGAGTTCCAAACATATCCTAAGTCAATACCTGTTAGAAAATTGGACAAAACCACAGCGCTTAGCTGCAACTATTTTGACATGTACTAGTTCACCGTACGGTGAGAACACACTTCTCAGAAGATCCTCCGAAACATTTGGGTCTAAACCCCCAACAAATATCTGCATTAACATTTGCGTTAAACCTTGAATAATTAAGATACTTAATCATATATGAGTTTGAGACAAGCTACCCACTGTTGTATTATTAGGGTCACTCTCTCCTTGATTAGCTTGAGGGGTTTGATAAGTAGCTACAGTGACAAAAAAATGATAGGGCATGAGCAAAGTCTAATGCAAATGAAATTAGAAAATCAGTCATGTTGCTATACAAGCACAAATATCACAAATGAATGGTTAAAAGACCGAACAAAGAGCCATGGCGGCAAACTGTTCACTGCCACACCATAGCAGCAAAACCACATATTCAAATCGGCATAGTAAACACAGAAATTCCAATCTTATGCCAAGCGAACATGATCAAAGAGGCATGGTCATGTGTTGTATAGTCAAGCCTCAATTTCACAACAGAATGAATAAAACACATCACAAAAAGAGGCATGGCGACAAGTTGTTAACTACCGTGCCAAAGCAGCTACACTGCCTATTCATATTGGTATAGTAAACCACAAACCGAATTTGGATTGAAAAATAAGATGGCTGAAAGGAGAACAGTGAGCAAAAAACACAACGAATGACTACTGAAAGGAAGATGAAACACTGATATGATCCATACAAACCCCCTAAGACATGATGATTATTTTAGTGCTGTTATTAACATGTTTACCATCTTATTTTGGACATTGGAGGGCTGAGGGAGTATATAGCAAATTTTTCTTCAGACCTCTTCAAGTAGACTTTGATTGCACAACTATTCATTCATTATGAACAATGAACCACGAGGATAGCATGAAAAGTAAAAAAAGAAATAATTTTATTGTTTTTCAAATTCTAGTTGGTTGGTCATTAAGTGAAAAATTAATGACAACTGCTCCATAGGGCAATGAATTCAAACCCTGAAAAGCTCCAACTCTCCAGTTGAGACCAATGTGTGACATTTATATAGTGGATATAGTATATTGTATATCCAAACACATATTAAAAGCTCCCACTAAACCACCTTGTCATGTTTCAATTTACGATGTTTGGCTAAAGTTTATTCAATTCAATTTATAGGATAGAGGGAGTATTACTATATACAGTGGTTTCTAGGATATGTATTAGCCTATTCATTCAATCTTAAGGGGTTAGAGAGGGTTATACGATATAAAACAACAACTCAGTATAATCTCAACATTGTTTGCAGTCTTGTAAAAAACAAAGAGCTTGTTTCAGTTAGAACCTTCATGCATTGTTGTGTTACTTACCAAAACTTTGTAGATAGTAAGAAGCAAGAAAAGTTTAATGTGCCATTTGATTTGGACCATTATTTTCCCAAAGCTAAAACACTAGCAATATACTCTCTCCGTTCTCAAAAAGAGTTACTAGTTTGACCAAGTGTAAAAAAAAGGAATTGTTAAATTGTAATTGAGTTCCAATTTTTCCCTTGATGTGATGGGTAAAAGTAAAATGTGACGGATAGATTATAAGAGAAAAAGTATGATGTGATAGGTAGGGTATGAAAAAATAAGGGTAAGAGTGGTTTTTTAATAGAACGTGAAAGTGTTTTGTTGAAAGTGGAAAAAATGAAAGAGGAAGTGTTTTTTAGAATGGAGGAAGTACCGAATAGGGACTATATTACAGAAAAGGACAATCATATATGCATCAGCCAAAATAATCAGCTTCCCATGAAAACAATATCAGGAAGCTGTAAACAACCTGTAGCATGGAACGAAGTGCAGAAAAACAAAAGTGAATGGGTGTTACATGAAAGCAATATCAGGAAGCTGTAAAAAATTGTTGATATGAAATGAAGTCGTGAATTATATGAAGTATGAGGGTTGAACTTGATATGAATGTTTTAATGCTTAAAATTTGCCTTCGATGTGAAATAGCATAAAATAGGAGCATTGTGGTGTGTTCTTTAATGGATAGGATGGAAAGAAATAGCCAAATAGTACTTAATGGAGAAGGATATAAATGAGCTAGGAAACCAACTAAAGAAAATGTGCAAAATGTAAAAATGAATTTACTCTGGCCTGTAGCTAATAAGTATGTGGAGACTAATTAATGTAGCACAAGGGATGCCACAAAAAAGCAAAAGTAAGGAAGGTTAATGCTTAAACAATTAACTGACCTAAAATGAGGCCACGCATAAAGTGGAATCATTTCAGCTGAAATCAGTTCCAGGCTCCCATATACGAGAGCCTATGTGTCCCTGCTTTGAGACAAGATGAGTTCTATAAGTTCAGGCAAATTTTAGCAAAATTAAAGTTGCCCAACTCTACAATGGAAAGTGTTGAAAGAAACAACTCTGAAATTTCCAAGAACCTTGCAGTGTGTAAATGTGATGGGTAAGTCTAGAAGATATGGCTGTAAAATGAATAACTGAAATTATTATCAACTTTGAGTTCTGTGAAGGATGATAAGCCTATCCAGAATACCAACAATGAAGTCACTGATTTCACAATCAGCAGCGACACGAAGAATGAACTTATGAACTCATTGGTTTAACAAATTGTATTTCAAAAGTCAAGATCGGGGAAAGGTCTGCTACACACACCACCCTACCCAAACCCTACTTTTGTGGGATTCAACTGGGTTGTTGTTATTGTTGAAAGACTAGGGAATCATTGAAATTAAAACAAAAACAAAACAGGCAGAAAAATACAGCAAGTTTATATCCAGCTCAAATACAACAA